AATGCCACTCTGGCAACCTACTCGACATACACTAGTTTTGAAGTTGAGGTAGTGAAGCTGTCCTGGGTTCATCCCTCTCACCACTGCTCTTGTGATCTCTGTGAGTGGTATGCTTGAGACTAGTGTTGGGGGAGTGCTTTCAGGTGGCTTCCCTGTCTTGTTTCTGGGATTGGTGCTTGCAGAGTGGGGGGTAGTTGGGTGAGGTGTGTTTATTTGTGAAATAGACATCCTGAAATATATATTTGCACAGCCAGGCATCCTAGTTCATTTATTTGTGGGGGTGAAAAACATCTCCTCAAAGAGCTAAAGTAATTGAACTATTGTTTTCATTGAGGCTGTGGCAGTTTTTAAATATAATATTATTAGTTGTATTTTTTATTTTACTTTTATTTTTAAATTCTCTAGATTAACTCCTTTCTAGCATTCTATTTCTATCCCAGTTTATAATTTAGTTATGAGACTGCAAATGGAGACTTTCTCATGCCGATATTTAATCTCATATTAGCAATGGCTTTTTAATGTGTGAAGCAACAACCCCATCTGGTGGTAATTTAATCACCTACATGACTCATTTGTCCAGTCACATGAATAGTTATCTAGTAAAGTGCTTATGCCATTAGTCTAATTGAAGAAGGCAGTGGTAAGCACACTACTGGACTAAAATACTCTAATTGCAATCATTAGTATTTTTCTGAAATCCACAGGGTTTTTTTATGTTGATTTCACCACAAAAACTGCGCCTGAAACTACTATATTAGAATATCCTTTTTTAAACGTTTGATTATATTTCTTGTATAGTTATAAACATTTAGAAACTAAAATTTAGGTATATACAATAGAAGTTGTGTAGTGACTTTCAGGTCTGAAGAATAAATAGGGTAGGTTTTTGTTAGATAGTCTTATTTAGGAAATTATTTGTAGGATTTTGTAAGATACCTTTTGTTTGCATGAAAATACACTTTCAGCTTATGAGTGAATTGCATGAAATGTATCTTGTAATTGAAATATTTAAAAGAACTTGAAATGTCTGTAATGCATTTATTAAGTGAGGTGATAGCTTTTTAAACATTTTTGTGTTAGCTAATGTGTACCTAGATAATAATTACTGCTCATATAAATCTTGAATTTGTTAATATGGCTTCACTACTGAGTGAAAGTCAGGTTTCCTCATTTCTTAGCCCCAGGACCTCACTGGAGTGTTTTAGATTTCCTCTCTTCCAGATATATACCCCCAGGATCTCTTGGGTATGTCTTTGCAAAGGGGGAAAGTCAGGGTTCTCCCCCTTCCATAGATGCTCCCCTGGCAAACTCCATGGTGAGTCTCTGGAAATAGGGAACCCTGGAAATACGGCACCCCAGTAGATTTCAGGGAGCATCTTTGTAGGTGAGGAAAGACAAGCAGAAACTTCTGAGGTTTGAGATGTACAGGATTGGGCCCCTTAAGCCTTGGGAGTACTTGAACTGGGCAGCAGGAGACTGCCAGCAGTTCTGGCCAAGACATTTAACAACTTCCAGCCCTGTCAGTGTAACTCTAGAATACTCTATGTAGCAGATTCATTTTTCGGACACCACAGTGAAAATTTGCAGCGGCCACATTGCCACCACATTGTATCAGAAACCTACTGATCTCCGCATCTATCTTCATGGCATCAGCTTTCATCCTAAGCACACCACTAGATCTGTTGTCTACAGCCAAGCTCTATATTACAGCTGGATCTTCTGGGATTCCTGTACAATTACAATACAACCCCAACACTGTAACCACTGAAATTAGCAAAGGCAGACTCAAACTTTTTTCTGACCTGTTACAATACCAACCTTGAGACAAGGACAACAGCTTGAACACATCATTAGTGACCTCTAATCCCTTCTGGAAAAGGATAACTGTCTCAAGGTAGCCTTTAGGAACAAACCTGTCCTGGCTCACAGGCAGCCCCACAACTTCAAGCAGTGTCTCTCAGACAATATGCTGGGTAACTTCTGTTTTCATGAGGCACTAGGCCTTGCAATAGACCTGAATGCCTGATGTGTTTCCACATCAATACAGACCACATCATCACTGGACTTAATAACAAGGAGTACAACATCTAGGGTTCATTTACCTGCAACTCTACCAATGTCATGTATGCCATCACCTGTCTAAAATGCCTGTCTGCTGTCTACATCAGATGGACAGGGTGAGCTCAGTGTGTAATAATGAATTAACACAGATCCAACATCAGCTACATAAGACACAAAAGCCTGAGGCAGAACACTTCAACTTCCCCGAACACGCCATTGCTGACCTCAGGATTGCTGACCTCAGGCTAAAAAATTTAAAATCAGTTTGAATGGGAAACTGAAACAAGAAATCATCCACAAACTGGACTGTGTTAAATATGGTCTAAACAGGGACTGTGGATTCTATTCTCATTACCTGGATTAGTTTTTGTGACCTCTTTTTTCCTATTGGTTTAATGTTTCTTTGTCTCTTCCAGCACTGTCCCTCTCCCCTCCAATTTCTCTGTCTCTTCCCCCCTTGTCTTTTGTATTCTAATTTCTCTCTCCTTATACTCTGCTTTCTGCATATCATTTCACAGCATTTGTTGAAGGGAGCTTTAGCTCCCTTCTACTCTCTCTCTATATTTTATTTAGTTAGTCTGTGAAGCTGTATATCTACCCTGCCTTCTGACTGCCTTCAGACTTAACCTGGTTAACTACCTTTCTCTGCCTGTGCTCTCCCATCATAAAGCAAAAAGACATCCACTGCAATAAAGCGGCACACTTTTTATTAGGGTTGTTGGTTGTAGCCGTATTGGTCTAAGGACATAGGCAGACAAGGTTCTTTGGGTAAATGTGGTATCTTTTATTACACCAAATAAATAGTTGGAAAAAGTGTTCTTTGCAAGCTTTTGGGCACCAAAATGGCACTACAACCAACCTATATGCCAACCTTTGTGTGGTTCACCTGGAAGAAGAATTCCTCAAGAACTGCACCAACAAATACATGCTATACCCAAGATATATTGATGGCATCT